TCAAGAACAAAGAGAAATTGAGTCAGGCTGAAAATAAATGTTTTTCATGTATTAAAGTAAGTATTTCTGTTTGTTTGTTATTTTTTATGTTTTTCAAGATATGATTTCACTATGTAGTTTTGACTCTTCTGGGACTCACTTTGTAGATGAGCCTGGCCTTGAACTCATAGAGATTCACCTGCCTCTGCCTCCCAAGTGCTAGAATTAAAAGCATATGCCACTATGCCTGGCAAAAAGTAATTGCGTGTAGCCCAGAAACCTCTTTTTTTTATATACTAGTAAAGACTAAATCTACCACACAGCATAATGTGCCGCTGGCAGACACCTCATTACCACCATACTGCTGGTCAAAGGCACACGCTAGGAACCCACCAGTGTTTAAACCCGCGTTTTGAGGAGTCTAGCTGCCCGTATGAGACATGAAGCAGGAACCTGTTTTTGGCTCTGTTTAAAATTGGTTGTTAAATATTCTTAGGTTTAAGGTGGAAACTTGAGCCGTTGGGCACCATTTGTAGCTGGAGAATTTCTCTCCAGCTCCTGCCACCAAGTCCCACCAGTCCCAGAGCCCACTTATAAAATAAACACACAGATTCTTACATTATTTAAACTGCTTGGCCATTAGCTCAGGCCTATCATTGTCTAGCTCTTACTCTTATATTCAGCCCATTTCTATTAATCTTTACTTTGCCACGTGGCTCGTGGCTTACCAGTACTTTACATCTTCCTTGTCCTGGCGGCGGCTCCAGGCAGTCTCCCCTTTCCTTCCTCAATTCTCCTCTCTGTAAGTCCTGCCTATACTTTCTGTCTGGCTATTGGCCAATCAGTGTTTATTTACATATATAGATATCCACAGCAGCAATGCCAGCATCTTTTAAGACTAAAGTATTCCAAACAAAGTGTGTTTGGGCTAGGGAGTATTCATTCTGAAAACTGAAAGGGGGCTATAACCCCACGTTCACACACAGCTCAAGGTGAAAATCCACCCCACCCTTCTCTTCCATCTTGATTAATACATCCATAGAAAATGGAACAACTATTATCAAACTCCTTGGAATGACAGAATCATCAAGATGTTTTACGTGAAAGAAAATATTTTTTCCAAAAAAGAGTAACTACACTCAGATTTTCTGCCTTTCTTCTGACTAAACTTTGTATTTCTAAAGGTAACACAGCCATCTAGTGGAAGAAACTTTAATAGCATATTATCTTACTCTAGGTATTTAAATCTGAACAATAAAAGCTGAATGAGTTCTTATTTCATTATATGATATGTGATTGTAAAATGTGAAAGTCTTTGTGATGTGGTGGGGTGTGATTGGTTGATCCTCTTGAGACTGGGTCTACACGGTGCAGGCTGGCTTGAACAAACTTCCTATATAGCCAGTGTTAACCTTCAACCTCTGATTCTCCAGCCTCCAGCTCCCTAGTGTTGGGCCTACAGGCATGCACCACCACGCCTGGTTTTGTGTGGTGCTGGGAATTGAACACAGGCCTTCATGCATGTCAGTTAGGCAGCCGTTCCAGACTGGGCTACATCCTCAAGCCCAGCAGTTTTAATTTCTTTAACATTTCATTAAACATGCTAAAATTATACATTTGTGTTCCATGACAGTTCCAGATACAAATTTCAAACTCTTTGTTCTCAACATGCTACTCAAAACCAAGTTATATTACAAAAACGTGGACATGGAAATGCCTACATCCTAGGTTTGAAACTAATTTATTCTCTACCTAAGTGGAAGGCATCGTTGGCTGCTGTCTGATTTTGGTGTGTTCATGACTTGTTTGTTCAGTGTGGTGTGTGTCCTGGGGTGGGAGTAGGGGTTGTGTGGAGACTGTAGTGTTGTGTCTGGTGTGTGTGTGTGTGTGTGTGTGTGTGTGTGTGTGTGTGTGTGTGTGTGTGTTTTGCATGCCCTATGTTGTGGAGAAGGGCACTTAGCGGACTGATATGCGCTTCCCCTCCCCTCCCCCCAGCCCCATAGCTTTTCTTTAAGATCAGCTCATTTTGTGAATAATTAAAAAAGGTAAATCATCCTGGACAGCTTTTATAAGAAGAGACAGTGGACATAGGACATACTGCTCAGCAAAGCTTGCCTGAGGCCAGAAGTCAGAGGGTATCCACCCCAGCCTGCTGCAGTTGGGGGCAGTGTGGGAGTCGGCTGAGCAAGTGTATCCTTGCAAACGAAACGGTGTTGGTTGAATCTAATCCCTATTACCTGAGGAGAGTATCGTCTTTATGTGTGCACTTTACTGATTCCTCACATGCATTTTGCATAAATACATGTGATCATCTGCTATCTCAGCATCACCATGGCTACCGCAAAGGTTTCCTGCTATTCGCCACTTTCCTCAAGCATTGTTTCTAAGAACTGATTGCTTTCTTACAACAGTCGACCACTTTCCAAAACAGTGTTTCTGATAACAGTGAAGAAAGCCACCGCTTCAGGTGTCCCCCACCCCTACCCCCCACTCTCCATACTGCTGCTTACAAACAGTCCACCATCCGTAGATAGAGCCCACTCTTCTTAGTCTCTGAAATGTGCTAGATGTATTTCCTCCCTTCTCCAGGGCACCAGACCTGAGAGTCTCTATGAAGTCTCCATGCTTGCTTTGGTAGCTATAGCCTGGGTTGTTGTTGTTTCACTTCCCTGAAGTATGTATGTAGGCTTTGATGAATATTCCCACAGTGCTCACTATGGGTGTGTCTCACGCTCTTTGTGTCTTAGATTGGAAGATAGGAATGATCATTTAAAATGTTACCTACCTGAAAGTGAAGAAGGAAGAAAAAAAAAAAACTCACATGCTTAAGGAGAGAACAGTTGATTCCGGCTTACAGTCCATCGTGGCAGGGAAATCAACATATCAGAAGCTTCAAGTAACTGGTCATGTCATATCCACAGTCAAGAAATAGCAATGAATGTGTCTTAATGTTCAACCCACTTCCCCCATCTTATATAGTCTAGAATCCCCTAGAAGATTCTAGAAGAGTCCCACTTACCATCAAGTTGGGTCTCCCTACACTAATATAATCAATATAACCCTCCATAGACATGCCCAGGGCCCCACCTCACAACTGATTGTAGAGTCTGTCAAACTGACAACACACACATCTTTTGGGGAACTCACAACTCTTATGTTTGGGGTCTTCCTTTTTAACCTTTTCAAAGACATAGAACACTGAGAAGTTTGAGTAAATATGAACCATATTGTTACCTTTAAAAGCAGGCCAAGCCCACGAATCTTAAGAGCACAACGAAGTGAAATTGAGAGATGTGTCAGTATCAGGACAGGCAGGCAGACCAGCAACAATTTCTTCCTCATTTTCTCCATCTAAATCTCTACATGATGTTTTTGGTGCTGCTTTCTCTCTCTCTCTCTCTCTCTCTCTCTCTCTCTCTCTCTCTCTCTCTCTCTCTCCCTCTCCCTCTCCCTCTCCCTCTCCCTCTCCC